TGCGAAGAATGTTGTGAAAGTCGGGATCAGATCTCGTTCTGGAATCACATTTCCGAATTAGTATATTTTGAAATGGCTTATGACAATATTCGTACATTTATCAACATTCTCCGAATGACTTTGATATAGCTCTGTAAGCTTTCATCCCATTGTAAGTTACAATTCTACTAATTTTATTTATTATTGTTATTTTATATTAAGTTTGACTGATTTTTTTTACTCACTGCTGCATTTCCAAATAGGTCGTATCATTTTCACCTCGACCATGAATATCACCGCACAAACTATCACGGAACTTAAGGTCGCTCTTGGAATGTAATAGAAGTACGGCGTGAATAAGCTCAGAGCAAGAATGACTAGAATACCTATAATGGATACCTAATTTGCATCACATATTCGCGAACGTTTATAATCGCGAACGTTTCATAGCTACCTGTGTAGATACCGCCCAAGGGCGTCCTTACACCGGAAGCATCGTTCACGGCGCTTCTGGAAAACGAACCAGTGACCGGCATGGAATGGAAAAATGATCCAACAACGTTGCACAGACCCAAAGTTAACATCTCCTGAGTAGCATCGAGCGACTTTCCTCGTGCTTTTGTTAAAAATATAATTAGCGTTTCGAAGAGCGTCGAGAGCTATCGGAAAATGAAATATCGCTTGGAAACTTACAAAACGCCTTCGCGATGGCAACATTCCCAATAATCGAGATCAAAGGAACGATTATGATACCGGTACCTAAATTTTTGCACATATCGAGGAAAGTTACGGTTTGATTTCCAACGTTTACCGAGAAAGGTGGTGGAATAACGGAGGGTAGTCCGGCCTCGACGTGACCTGTAAGAATGAAAGGTGCTCCACCGCGATTTTCGAAGACGTACGACGCCACGGCGCATAGAATTACGACGAGGGCGTTTCTACCAGTTCCAAGGAACCAGATCAGTTTGCTTAAAATTTTATTCGAGACCTTGGCATCTTTGAGTATCTGGAACGAGAAGGAAATAAAAAGGAGTTGTATGAGTATGTATGACTGGCTCGTTTTTCTCGTTGATTTTCTGTCTTCTTTTTTCCTTTTTTACGTATTCACAGCGCACACGAACTCGTTTTGCTAGCGAATAGAAGTCCATGGTGAATTACCTTCAAGGTTAATAGAATTAGAATGCAGCAGCAAGACAAGATCAGGTCAGGGATTCTGGTCCGGTGGATGTTGTTAACCAATTCCCGCCAAATCTCGATGAAACTTTCGCCGTGTATCTTCAAGCCTAGTAAACTCTTGATTTGACTGCAGGCGATAATTAGACTGGCGGCTGACGTGAATCCCGATACGACAGGCATGGAAACAAACTCCACCAGAAATCCCAGTCGAAGGATTCCGAGAACTATCGTAACGCTTCCTGACAAGAAACACAGGAGGATAGCGTACTCGGGAATACCTCTGGAATACCATAAGAGCAGAAATATTAAACGTTCGAACACAAACGAACCGTGATTGCCAAAGCTACAGAAATAATTTGGGACCTCGCGTTTCCGGGATCAAAGGACAAGAGCCAAGTGAAAGGCTATTCGTCAAAAGTTCCAAGTATTTTTAAACGTGATTCGTATGATAAAAGAAGATACAACATTATTAAAGTAGGATCTGAAGACTAAGGCTGAAAGGAAGTCGAAGTAAGATAACTGCATTTCAAAGGATAACAGCATCTTTTCAGTCGCTATTATATTATATGATGGCTCCAATTGTCTGCTATGATATACGCAAATTCAACCATTGTGGTAGTCAATTGAGATGGTTCATTCATAGGCTTGAATCTTAAATTAAGTCTAAAGGAATAATGTTTCCGCGAGATGCGTGGACAGCTTACCTCGCGTACGTGTATGTTAGCAAAGAGATCAACGCAGTTGGGCCAATATTAACTTCTCGGCAGGTACCAAAAATTATGTAAACGAAACTGCCAGCAAACGCGCTGTAAAGACCATATTGCGGCGTCAGACCTGCCAATCCAGCGTACGCGATCGCCTGAAATTATATCAAGCTTGTTCGAATCGGATCGGTCATGGGATCATGAAATAGACATCGCGAAACTTTGATAAGACTTTAATTCACGACGATAAGATCATGATCTTTGGAAAATACCTGTGGTATCAGGGTCAGGCCCACCGTGAAACCCGCAACCAGATCACCCAATGCATCCTTTGTTCTGTACAGGGGTAGCCAATTCAGAACAGGAATTCTGTTCTTCAATAACTTTTCGAAACTGAATCCAGTCATGTCACTAAAATTTTTTTCACCTCAGTCAGTCTTTCTTTGACCTGAACCAAACAATTTCAGCACATTTTAACTTGGAATCCTGAAAACACGATGCACTCCGGTGACTCGATTTGAATGGCAGATCACGGCGAAGGAAGAACTTTGATTTTGAGCTTCGATCGACTCTCCGTCGTACTCCATCGGCGTGTCTTCTTGCTATGCGAGCTGCATCGTCTCATTAATCGAACGCGTACCCCCTTTCCATTCAACGTCGACGAAATGAGCCGGCAATTAACGGATCTTCGAGTGACAATTAGTAAGTATAGCAAACGGTTTGACGTGCGAGGACACGATTTACGATCACCTGACCGGTGCTCACGTGAGAACGTTTAAACTTTAAGCACGTGATTCACCAATTTCTTCAGTTACCACGAATGTGCCACCTTAGTATTTTACTGCGCTGTTCAGCATGTTCTTTCATTTCAGTTTCACTTTTGTCTGTCACTGACAACGCATAAGTGGTTCGCCATAAAATGCGAAAAAAAAAGAAAATGGATGTCGATGGATGGAACGTTTCTTGGACAGAAGGAACCTACCGATTGATGTGTCGTCTTGTACCTGTTCTATACACTGATTGAATCTCCAGCTGTTTCACACGTGCCTGATTCTCCCACCATTGTGGTCTGGAACTGCTGATACGTCCGTCAGAATTCGAACGCATGCGTCGATCCTTCTCTAAATGGTCACTGGGTTTGGCAAACGCAGATTGTCGCTAATTTACCTAACAAATGTTGGGCGTTTTTTCCATCGCCCTATATCCGGATTTTCAGCATTCTTTTGAGCTTCCCGTTGGTTGTTCTCCATTCGGATAACCATCTGCTCTTCTCTTTATTTTTTGAACTAGCCCTTTTTGCACACATCCTGTATTTTATATAATTCATACTTATATTCAAATGCGATCATTTACATCTTCATTTACATCTTCGATCATTTACATTAACATATTCGCAGATTTATTTGATTTTATCAAGAGATATTATGTAAGTATCATATGGAGATCCTTTCATACGGGCTATCAATAGTATTTTGTTGTAAGTAGCTGTAAGATGTAAAATTGCAACGATGCAGCATCGCTAGTCTCCATCGAATATTATATTTCTAACAGCTACTAAGTTCTACACTTGTTTGTATTGCCTATAATTTTATACTTTATTCGTATAGATTTATAATTTACTTATTTACTTATATATTAAGATTTATAATATATTATATTTTTGTTGTATTTTTAATGTATAGGATCGCAACGAAATAGCATTTCTAATTTACACCTGGTCTCACGCGATAATAAAATAAAAAAGAAAGATATACAAGAACCATGATTCGTCGCAAACGATGGTGATTACGGCACTCCAATTATTGCAGCGTAATACGACGGTAGCTTATCCTTCGGTAAGAAACATCGTTACGTCAATCGGAAATAAACATGAAATTGTTACAAGAAATTATCGTCGAGCCATCGTGAACATCCGATTGTTCCAGCACGGAATTCCTTCCGCGCATTATCGCGGAATGTGTCAGTGGACATTGTCAATCGACAACAGATACGTTCCGCTACACTTTTGCACGAACCTTTTCTTCTGGTTTTTCACTGGAGTCTTTTTTACCGGCGAGTTTCTTGTCCCGAGAGAATGGTTGAAATTCTTATCATCGAGCGCGACACATCGTATGCATGCCTGTAATTACAAGGACGTTGCGTGGTCTTGAACGACGTTGTGTTTTGCATGTTAACGCGGCGAGTATAACGATGAATTCACGAAAGTAAAGCAGAAATTATTAATGTTTTATGGGAAAACTTTTTAACTTTTAGATTTATTTCTATAGTACCAAAGTCAAAACGTAACGCAACAAACAATTTTAATATATATAATGTTGATCGATTATATTATTCTTAAAAATTGAAACAACGATTGAACGATAATTTGTTTTATCGAAAAAGGTGTTTAAAAATGTTCATGAAACAGTACGAAGCTTAAATAAATAAGTGAATAAATAAAATATATTCGTGGACTAATGTTGGTATAAAGTTTATATAAATAAATAAATAAAAAACGTTCAAAAACGAGTGTTAGCTCGAAGTTTAAATAAATAAGAAGAGAAAAATGATTTGTACCGGTGGAATGAATCGAATGTATGTTATTTCTGACGCTTGTAAACGAGTATCTCGAAATAGCAGAAGAATTTATACATGGTAATTACAACAACTAATATTTACGTCATGGCGAAGGAAATAATTTTGTCTACACTTGTGAATATTACGAAATTGCAGCCTCACATTAGAATATGTTTGAAAGACGCATACTCGTGTTGAGACAGCTTGAACAAAACTACTTTTAGCTGTAGGCAATAAATCAATTGTCATTGGACAATTGGAAAGGAAAAAGACAGGAAAAATTATGGATTATGTTCTTAGTATTGTATTCGACAACTGGATGCATATCGATCTGAACATAGAAATAAATTGCCTGGTTGTTAATTTTTACTATCATATTTATTACGATGAAACTTCCAATTTTGTTTTATTATTGAATAAGAAATAGTTGGAACAAATATAAAATGTGTTCGTTCCAAAGACAAAAATCTGGATTTATTTATTTATATAATTATTTATTTACATTGTGTTATTAATTATTTATTTATATAATATTTGGATATCTTAAAAAATATCACACAGCTGCTAATGACTGAAATTTGAATTTAAAATTATCCAAGATATTTGCGAACAGTATGAATTGAGATCATATTTAAAATTGGGTAAAATATTTAAGTTGCGATTTATTGAATTTGATTAGTTTGATTTCGCTTTTAAATTAAAGCCGTAATTATTATAATTTTATTTTTACAACCTCTTTAGTAAACGTTCGCAAGAATCATGGTAAAAGTGTAGAAAATATTTTATCACTCGAGTTAACGCTGTTTCCAAGACGTCAAATAATCACATTATACGTCATATTATTGTTTCATTATATGTTTTGAAAATTCCACAGTTTTTATTTCTCTGTCTCGCTAATTTTCATATCAGTCTACTTGCTTGCCCATTGCTTCAGACTATGTTTATATTTTCCTTTATTTGCAGGAAAACTCGCACGCTCTAAAATTATCTGTGCTCCGTCATAGCTTAAACATGTAAACGAAAGTAATTGTTCAAATTACTAGTGTAATTAATTTTATTTTCATAGCCTGCTCGTCGAAAGTCCACGAAGATCCTGGTAAAGATACGAAAATTGTAAAAGTAGAGAATTTGTAACATATTTGATCATCTGAATGGATGGATTAGTACAAATTGAAATGTCATGTTTTCATGGCATTTTCCACTCTTTAATCAGGGACATTCCTGGAAATAATCGAGGCTCCCGATTGCAAATTACTGGCTGACAAAAAAGAGAGCGATCTAGGGTTTTCTAAGATTAGAGAGATCCTTCGTACCTGTAAGTCAAATTTACATTTTAATTTTCAGAGTATAATATTTCTTCTTCGTCTATTTCGTTTTGTTCTTTTGTTTTGTACGAATTATAATTCTAACATCTTTTCCGATTGTTTGTCTCTTTTTTAGAAGAGAAAGGAGCAAAATATTTTTTGAAAAATGAGGACGATGCGTTCTTTTCGATCGGGAATATATTAATAGAAAATAACAATACATCTAACAGATCACTAACAAAATAAAAGCATCGATGAAAGACGTGATGCAGCGTGTAAGGCGCATTTTTCTCAAGAAGTTCAAGAACAGAAAATGAATAAAAGTTAGCATTCTTGTCTCTCACTATACTTTATGTATTATTTATATTATATTTATTACTATATTTTATAGCGATGAAGTAAAAATTCAATGGAAAGACTTTCGTCCCCCATATTTAAAATTAACATTATTTAAAAGATAAAATCGGTCACTTTGATAGAATAATAATACATAAATGTAACTTACAGAATAATAAATCTGAAATATATGTACGAGTTAAAAGTGACTCAGCCTTCGCTGTACATAACACCGCTTCTAGTTCAGATATTTAAGGACGCTTCCCAACTTGCTAAATTAATTCTAAATGAGCGATGTGAATTTTGCTAACAAAGTACAATTACTATAATCCTCAAATATTCCTTTGGAAGGAAGATGGAAAATCTACAATGGAATTTTTGTATGAATTATTTTGGACTATAAGCTTATTGAAGGCTTCTTAGGCTTATAAAAATACAAAGATATTAACTTGTAAAACTATAAATAATTAGAAGACATAAAAACAAAGATATCCTGAACATGGGATGAGCATAAGAAAAAATTCTGACTAGGAATCTAAAATTTTGTATCTAATAAAACGTGCAGGACATTTGTGCGTAACAGTAATATTATTGAATTTAAAATCAATCCTGCACTGAAATCTCTCGATGATAATGTAAGTTAAGTGAAATTAATATTATTATCTCAATTAATTATCTTATTAATGATATATTATTTATTTAATGAACTTTTTGATGAATTATAAAATTTTGTATAGAAATAAGTGTCGAGAAAATGCAGTATCGGGGTATTTATAAAACATAATACGTACCTGAGTTACTTGCGCCCTGGTGGCAGAAATAGGAATTAAAATTTTAAATCACATCATTTCGCGCGCTGTCATGTTGAAAGGTGGCAGCATGAATAGCAACTGCAGAGAATTCGTGAAAAATATGAAAATTTAACATACATCGACATGTCAATGCTTTAAAATGGTAAGAATCTTCTAATCTGAATTGTTCTAAATTCAAAGTTACTAACATATTGCGGACGGACCACGAATCCTCGTGTTTATTCTAATGATGGAAGTCGATCACGAAAATTCTAGTATTTTCGTCGTTGTCGATTAGACAGAATCGATTCAACTATACTTTGGGTATATTTAGTAGCAAAACGACTGGTCTGCAATATGTTAATATACAATTTGCAGTGTTTTACGGTATTTTTATGTGAATAGGTGGATATCGAAATAAATTTCAAGAAAATTCGAATGGTATCCGGGTACTGATAGAATATAATACGTTCCTGAGCCTGGATACGTAACAATTTTGAGTAAAATATTATACAGAAAGGTTTTAAATGTTATCATTGTCTTTTTGAAGTGTAAAAAATAGTAGTTAAGTGCAGAAGTGTTACGATAAACAATTATATTATTAGACATATTCATATTACAATTGTAAGATATCATCGCCTGTATATTATGCATAATTTCATAGTAAATTTTAATATGTACTAAAATGTAGCAGAATAGCTAGGAAGGATGCATTTGAGTCTTATTTATAATTAATAGTTAGTAGCATTTGATCAAGATCTTAGTATTTCATTGGATATTTACATTCTTTGTAAATATCATGTACTTGTACATTTCATATTTATTTTCTATATTACATTGTTTAACTGTTAGCTATTCTACAATTCTCTTGACACTGTATGAAACAGTGTCTCGCATAGATCCATATGATTAGTTTAAAATTTTATTTTAAGATTAGTTTCCCGCGTCGATTTTCCTTAAATCTTCTTTTATTGTGTGTTTTGTATAACGATCTAAAAATTGAATATTTTCCAAACGCATATTAAGAGGACGATTTGTTTATTTATTAATGTTTCAAGTACAGTTTAAATGCTTGTTCATAAGAGTAAGATAGATGGTGTCGTGGATCCTTCCATTCTCCTCCATTTGTAGTACCTTTACATGATGAAACCTGGGCAATCGTATTATTTGATATACAATTACTAATATATAATTATAAAACAAGCTTGTTGGTTGCGATCGCGATTGTAGTTTTGGTCACCGTAGACGCAAAGTCCCATTTATTGTCACGTCAAATCCGCCATTAGTCAATATTTCCATTACGGATAATGACAGCTTTAGAAGAACATTTTCGAATGAATAAAGAGAGAAAAATCAGTCCATCAATCTTATCTTTATAAAATTTTTAATACTGTCTCTTCATTACTAACTCGTCATTGCCAAACCGTTTCAGATATAGTATGCAAAAGATATGAATATTATTAAAATAAGACTATGAGGGGATTATGTGATGAGTTATTGTCTTCTTTACTATTATCTTTATCACTAATTACCTAATTTGTTTCAGATAGAGCCACGTTAATCGATCTTAGTAAAGGATATCTGCCACTTGTTGGATCTAGAGAGTCTTGCAAAGATGCGCATTTTCCACTGAAGTCATCGGTATCGATGCTCCAAACCATTACACCAGCCAAATTTAAGTTCATCGCATATTCGATCTAAAAATTTTGGAAAAACATTATAGAGGTAACGCATGTAGTACTATCATTTATTATCATCATTTGTAATGGATATTAATCAACCTTTTCTTTTAAACTCTTGGGGTTATCATATGCTATAACGAATTCCTCGTCAACGATGTAAGGTGTAGCGCTACTATTATCCCAGCCACGTACCCAAGAACTTCCATAATCCACTAATTCTTCACAAATCTGGAATTATACATGTTCCAATTATTTTATAAAAAAGAAATAGATAATGTATCCAATTAGTTTAACAAAAGTAAAACTTACTTCATTGTATCCCATAAAACCATCTTGGATAGTGTAAGGCCCCTGAAACCCGTTTCCGACGATCGTTCGATTTATTGGACTTTCTTCAGGAGAATTTAATGCGTTCATCAATACAAAAGTTCTGCCATACGAAGGCAAGCCTAATACTAGTTTATTTGCTGCTGCACCTCTACTTAAGTAATAACTGAGTGTATCCACCTAAACAAAAATTTCATTCTATATGTATTTCATCAACGGTACTCGATACTCATTGTAGTCTATCCAAATGCATTACCACATCCAGATTATCTCCAGCTCTTAATGGTGAATTCGGCAGCACTTTTCTATCCCATGATCCATGATAATCGTAGGCCATTACATGCATATAGTCGAGATATTTGGAAAGTTCGGGAATATCGTATCCAGCATCGATGACGTTTGGGCCAACACCTAAAGCTGCTGTTAATAGATAGTTCGACTCTTGGAATGCTTCTTTCAATTCCTATTAGAACAAAGAATACGATTAATTTCTGGCTCAGGCAAAACTATAGTTTCGATAAAATTACTTTGCGCTACGTTATTTACCTTCAGAAGACTGACAAAATTTAATTTGTCTAGTACACTACCACCGCGTGATCCAGGATACTCCCAACTTATGTCCAAACCAGTAAAATTGTATGCCCTGTAAATTAAAGATTATCGTACAAATCTGCAAAGTATAAATATTAAACTGTCTTAATGTTTGATTCCTTACTTAAGGAAGTCTACTACACTCTTAACGAACGCAGATCTTCGTACAGGCAATGAAACAAGATCAGAGTATTTTGTGCTACCCTCGTTATATCCTCCAATTGATAGTAGAATGTTTAAATGTGGATACTGTTCACGAAGTGCGGTCATTTTTTTGTAATGCTCTGGAATATTACATAGAACGAAAATGTCATTTATATATGTAGGTATACCTTTAATCGTGTCGAGTAATTTGCAATATGTATTTACCTTTGGTAACATCTAAGTAAGGGTCGAGGCTCTTAATGGCCCATGTCGTGCTGTCCAGCCCGGCGAATGTATATATAAGATGTGTGCAAAGTTGTGGTTCAATATCAGGAATATCAAACCTTCCATTACTACGTCTGTAAATGGCCCAGGAGGCGACATAACAAGTTACTACCTTATTATGCTTAGGTCCTGATTGAGCTTGATAGAAAAAGAAACATAGCTTTAGTATAAAGTTTATTTCAACTTTTTTTCGCAAAACATTTATTCCTATGTATATATGTATAATAGATTATCTTTCGAACGATGTTCGGAACTTGTTATTTACTTTTCATTGATAGAATACGATTATTATTTATCTAATGTAAATATATATGAGAAACATTAAATCATCGAGGTAACTTTCTAATAAGTCATTAATTATATGGTACTATCTTTGGTTATTTATATGTCTTTGAGCAATGAAGTGAAACAAAGGTTTCATCGAAATGTCAGGTTTCCATTGTATAAGCTATCAAACAAAATGTCAAACTTATTCTCAATTTCCCTTCTTGTTGCATAGTGTATCATCATATAATAGGAACGTAATCTACAGCCGGATCATATATAAAATCTTTAATCTCTATATTAGTATAATCTCTGTTAAAGATTTTATATAAGATCCATTTATAGAGATTATATGTAGACATTCTTTATACATAAAGATTTTATACATATCCATATAAATCTATATATGTATATAATCTAATAAAATCTAATCTAATCGAATGAAAATAGATATATAATTTTTATATCTATACATACATCTCTGTAGATAGATAATTTGATAAAAATAGTAGCTTCGCTGACAAACTGCTATCTTATTTTATTTTATCAAGCAAATGCAGAATAATAGTTTTAAGATATAAATTATGGTGTTGGCTTTTTTTTATTGAGAAAATGTTATATGAAATACCGCGATACCTTAGCTATCTATCTTTGATATTGTAGAATGAATGGTAGTCGACATTTAATGCCCCGAAAGGCGAATTGCAATTTTCTGACTTGAAATAATAATGCATAACTTCGAAATGAATGTATGAAATATAAAAACTGAAGCGCTATTTTGTACAGGAAAATCGTTACTTATATATGTTGGATTTTACATCCCGTCAATTTTATCTATGGTTTCTTACAATTTTCCCATCATCCTGCACAACTTTTTCCAGTATATATACGGTGTATATAGCGGGTGGCCGCTTCTAGTTTTCAAGCTATACATAAAAGTATGTTTGACATGATACAATGAACCTGTCGATGTATTACCTCCTCATAAATTTTAATAGAATTCTTTTAAATATTTTTATAGTGCTGTACGAACAATGAAAAAATTAATGAAATAATAATAAAAATTTGGGTAACACCGATAATAGTGTAACTACATCACATACACCATAATTTGGACACACACACGCATACGCAGGCAATGGTCACAATATCTCATTTATAATTTTGTATAAAATATAGAAACAAAGTACATATATGACATCAAGCATACTTTTGTGTATAATCCGCAAACTAAAACCGACCACACTATATATGTATAGGAAAAAGATGTTAAGAATGTTGACCTTGACAACATATTTCTAGTTCTAGGTCTAGGAGTAACTATTCGGCAACTTCACCGATTATACTTTTGTAATATCATAGGACCTATAGAGTGATGCCTTATTAGAATTTTAGATATCTGAAGGAATATAAATTTGTCATTTTCCCACTATCCTTTTTTGGATATAAATATATACTCTTTGAAATTTATGTTATGCGTTGTCGTATTAATGCTAAAGAAATTATTTTAATTTAATAGGTACTCACCTAGGATACCATTGCTACTGAGGAGCAATATTGCAAGTAGAGACAGGAACACGCACACCTTCATTATTGAGAACAAATAAATTCGGTTTATACCGAATTATTTTTCTGGTAGATAGCTTTCACTTGACCACAGTGTCCTCGGAGAAAAAAAGCAGTCGCGCGTGTGACTTGCAAAATGGTGCAGGTAGGATGTTTGTGTAGTAAACGCCTAATACGTACCTGTGCGTATTCCATATGTATATATATACTAAATTTCCGGATAGATATTAGGATAGATATCAGGATATATATCGGGATAAATATTAGAAAAATAGGAAACAAGCAGATTTAATTGAAAAACAATTTCCGCCAAAGATAGTCATTCCCAGAAGTAAAAGAAACATTGGAAAGCATTTTATATTTTTACAATAATTCAGATATCTAACTTACTTAGATTACAGTACGATAATACTTAGCGATTCGTTTAATTGGTTTCAAATAAAAATGTAATTTCATATTACTAAAACATAAAATGTGCATTTGTTTATCTTTCATATTTTCATTTTTGTAAGTAATGATTTTAATAAAAAGTGTTTCATATAAAAGTTAGATGTTTGGAACGGGATATAATTTGATTATTTTATTTTTTTGTAGGAGGATGCGTAGAGGATATGAAGTCCAATTTTGTTTTTCTTTCTTTTAGAATATTCTTTATATATCTGGTGACATACCATCTTTTTATCTTGCATATTTAAAGAATTATAGCGGAAAATACCTTACACAAAGACAACTTCTGCTTTGAATTATTTTATTATATAACTAATAATAATATTATATAATTAATAATATTTATTAATATATTTATTATATTTATTATATTACACATTATTAGATGTGTAAAGAGTTGTCCAATCGTTTCCAAAAATGTATCTATTCTTATGATAACTTTTTGAACATAGCTGCGTTAAGGAAATAACTCCTTGAACATGTAATAAAATCATTTTCAAAGCAGAATATATTTCTTTTGATAAATCTATGGTCATACATAAATTTAATGTATTTTACAACTCTATTCTACTTTCTAGCATAAGATTATATCAAGGTATTCTTTTAGTTCAATTATTAATTTATTTACTTATATTATTTTATTTAATAATTTTTCGAGGTCGGTATTTCAGAATGTGACATCATTGACTAAGAATAGGATTGCTGTGTACTCGTCTATATTCCTGTACCGAGCCAGTGATTTCTGTTACTTCGAGTTTCTAATTGGCACCGATAGATGGCAGCACACATCTAGAAAGGGATCGTACTACTGTGCGACAAGGACAGATATAGTGGTCGCAGACAA